GTCCGAATTGGGGGTTTTCTGCATAATCTGCTTGATTCGTCTTAGTCCGTTCATCCTGCGGGGCTAAGAATAGCTGGCGCTGGCCCCTGTGCTTCTCATCAACGGATCACGCGTCGGCTGTGGCAGCATTTCCCAGCTGTCCTGCTCTGAGATTCGGTGAGCATGACGAAGTTGACTAAGTGACGGCACAAAACCCTGCAAGAGGAAGAAGCCGTTGCGTCTGCTCCGTACCAGATACTACCTACTATTGTATCGTTAGCAGATGCTGCTTGAACCAGCCGGCGTGCCGTGCGGAGGATATACTCCGTACCAGCCATTCTCTTCTGCTGCTGCAGACAAGTTTCAAGGTACGTACGATGGTTCCTACTCGCAGGTTCTCTCAAGTGAGTCCCAGCACGTTTGGTCTCTGGACGTGCCAAGTTGCGCGTGAGCAAGGTCACATTGGATACCCAGCAGATAGGAGCGCCACAAGCTCATGGTAGCGTCTTGGGGCTGAAAGTCGGTACCGAGAAAACTTGATGGCAGATACGGATAGGCACCAACTTGTTCGCGGATAACACATCCGGAGGGATGTTGTCTAGAGCAAATGCCAACCGTCCAATTGGATCCAAGTCCGGAAGGGAAGCTAAGTGTCTGCTAGTGAATCTGTCAACACGAAGTTCTGATTTGGCGAGGAGATACGCCTCGATCAGAGTTGTGCGTTACCAGACTGTCGGGGCTTCGCTGGCACTTACATGGAAGTTGCCTGCTTAGCCATTGGATTCCCAAAGTTGCATATGCATGCTGCGCGGAGCAGACCAATGGTTTTCTGCCCCCATTCAAGGAACCCCTGCTTCTGCCATCAGCAATATGGAGGGTGAATGTCAAGTCCGTAGCGGCACAGATTTGGCGCGAAACTTTATTGAATACTCAAGACCAGAGGTCTCTTCTCTCTAAACATAGAGACAAAACTGATGTATTGGCTTCAGGACAACTTGACGAGTGCGTCGAGTATCAGCTTCGAAAGGAAGAGGCGATCAAGTCCAGATGCGGAAATACTCTAATCGAACTGCGAAAAAGGGTCGATCTCAAAACGTGCTGAATCTGCCAAGCCTCCTATGGTCTGACGCTGGGTTCTTTCATCAGCCCGAGACTGCTGGATAGAACAGTGTCAGCGAGTTTCGTATGCTCGTATCAAATGCTGAGTGCCATGGATCGATCTTCAGATGGCAGACGTAGCATCGCCCGGTCCAGGAACATAAGACAAGACAGATGCTGCACGTTAATGGGTAGCTGAACCGAAAGAGCACCAATTGAGGATAATGGAAAGATCTTGCCGCTGTGATAAGGGCCCCGTCAACCCGCAAGAAATAGATAGCCTCGTCCGGCAAGGTTTCCGTGTTCCGCGACTGGAATACAATACAATATAGTATAACATCAATGAGAAACTTCTTGTTGGACAAGGCTGAACGTCCAGTCGGCTCAACAGCACTGGTACTGCAACAGCATGCCTCGAGATGTATTAGTTGCAGAAGCCAAACCAACAATGCAACGCCGCGGACCTCTCTACACCCCTGAGATTGGCCGTCCAGTCGCAGCAATGTGATCAAGTCGAGTACAGGATTGCCTCCGCCGAGAGACGTCAGTAGCATTTGCGACTTGGCAAAGCTATAAGCTAGAAATAGTAAGGTCCTATGATGCGTATCCCTTCTTACCACACTTGAGGTAACTCATGATATTGCTGGGCCGGCTCCGAGACTCTATGCTCCAGTCTTCAGAAGCGGCTATGGGCTCAGCACTCAGCGTTATGATCTTTCAACGAGTGCACAATACTTGACACCTTTCCGTGGGACTAAGGACCAATCACGGTGGCACACGGCGGCGGTCCCAACTCAGCAAAGACTGCTGGCAAAGCTGAGTTAGTGGCAACATGTGGAGTGTACAGTATTGCGCGAAGCATACCGGTAGGACTTCCGACGCAAGGCATCGGATTTCAGCACAGATGCTCCATTGCCCAGTGTTAATGCGCCGGCCAAACTCAAGTACTATGTGTGATGAGTGGTGATTCTGTTGCTGTTGGTCCACGGCTGTGGTCCTGGCACGTATTTCGGCTCCCTTTTCTTTTCTTTTTGCATTGGGGCTGAAACACTAATGGCTTCCAGGAGATCCAGGCGTCGCGGCTAGCACAAGATGATACGATGCGAGGCAATGACTTTTGGGCGAGTCGTATTTGCACTTTTGTTGAGGCCAACTGTGGTCGACGAGGGTGCGAAGCAAGGAGTGGTCTCTCTTCTCTCATTCCTTCCCCTCTCCCCGCTCCTCTCCCCTTTGTCGTAGAGGGTGCGTGGGGCCTTGTTGTTCTTTGGCTTTTGTCCGTCTTTCAGCTGGCATGGCAAGGTTGTTGCATTCGACTAGCATGCTCCCTCGTGCGGGATACATACATCGGCCTAGAAACGTGATGTGGTCAGCAAAGCAGTCCAACAAGTGATCCTCGAATCCTGAAAGGTATCCAGCACATACAGACGACTATGGCTGGTTTCTGCGGCGGGAAACAACGGTCGCGGGTCGCACCGCCTAACTTAAATTGAACCCCAAACCGAGGTTCCCTTCAATAGTGCCCTGAGAAGATTCGTCCATTGTATCTCCCACTTCTAAGGCCGCTCTGCATTGAAGCCTCTTCAATAAGGACACGCATGGGGCAAAGAGGACATACTCGCGGCTCGCTCAGTCGCCTGGCTGCATTGGCGAATGCCTCGCTCAACAGGAGCATGTCATTGACCTGATGGTGCTTCGTGCTTGGTACATCCAAGTATTGTCTCCGAGCCCCCCACCTAAAGAGCAGAACTTGGCAGCTTGGAAGGGCGAATCTTGGAGAAATGGCGCCACGTCTGTGAGCTTCTCCACAGTGGCTTGAGACATGCAAGGATATGCTGCCGGTCGTCCGGTACAGGTGCTGCGAGCTTTTGGATCTCACTGGCAGAGGGGGTTCCCGCATCCACTGGCTGGACCGTCATGTCGGATTGACAGGTCTCAGCACGAGACACACGTCGCAGCCAGGCGTCGACAATAGCCAGTTGCGCCTCCACCGCCACAGTGTGTTCGAGTTCCAAATACGCCGGATCTATCGTGCAGGTGCGTCTCAACCGGTGGTCGCCGAAGCCGCTTCAGCTTGGGCTCGAATTGATTGAAGTGTCGACGGTGGTAGTACTCGTCAGTGGTAGCACCGCGGCTTACTTCATACCCCGAGTCTCACGAGCCATTCGGTTGTCGGAAACGATTCATGCTTCTGCTGTGTAGGACGTCGGCCAGCCAAATTAAGAGCTCGAGCCGTACCGCGTCCCACCAGAGCTGTTGATCCATTCAAGGCCAGGACAAGCAGCTTTAGCCGTGTTCCCGGGTTAAAGCCAAGAACTCGGCGAATAATTGCCCTGTAGGATACGGTTTCAGTCAAGCATTGGTCTCCTATGCACTGCATGCTTTCGCGCTCCGAACATACCAGTAATTCGGAGTATAGCCAACATACTACTTACTTGTAGTCCATACGTGTACGAAGCAGGTAATATGCAGCAGCGTTGAGAGACATGGGCCATCCGGCGCTCTCGAAGCCTTGAATCCTTTTCCCGCCTGGGCGCACCATAGTGGCGATAAGGGGCGAGTTCTCGTTGGCCGCATCGTATCAAGGCTTGTGGCAATGCAGTTCCGACCAGCCTTTTCCGCGTCGTTGGATGAGATGGGCAGCTGGACTGACGGAAGGGATTCAGATGCGCTTCTCACCCTTGTATCAAAGGCCGAAGTACATATATCTGGCGAGTCTGGGTTGCTGGGCTCCAGGGCGGCGGCTCGTACTAGCTCGATGCACGAGCCTCGTTCTGGAAGTGCATCAAGCCTAGGATGCCCGGGCTGAGAAATCGCTGCATTTTAGCAGGGCTTCGTTTGTGGTGACAGGCTTGTAGCGAGGCAGAGTGAAGATGGTGGTGAGAGGGAGACTCGTGTGACGTCCTCACAGGCGCAGTCTTGCCCTGCTCCTCAATGCCTAAGGCACTGCTATCAAGTATTCTGCGTTTTGCACCTCGCGGCGTTTGTACGCAAATCCACTATCAAGGATATATTGTCGAAGATAAGACTCGAGCTACCTACAGAGTCCGGTCCCTGCAGCTGCCCAGCCTGGGAAGCACCTCTGTCACTGACTCCTTCCAGTTGGCTCCGAGCTGGTGGAATGGCAGGTGCCTCTCACGGGAGTCGATCTCGGGTGCAGGCGTTTAGGCCTAGCAGGTACTAGCCCGGGACTCGAGCAGCGTTAATGCGGTCTACACCCACGTGCTGGCCCTCACCAGCGCCACCTGGATATCTCTTAGCAGGTGAGGGGTATGGCTGCAGTAGCTCACGAAGTTGAGATGCTCTTTCTTCGCCTTGGCTACATGCAGCAGAAGGGCAGCTGCTACTAACCTGCCTCGTACCGTACGCGCAAGTACTGCCGAGTAGCTCAAGAGCTCGGGAGTCTCTTACAATTGCGCCCCAATAATCGCCTAAGGGACATGACCGGCGTCGAGAGGATCAGTACGACGTAACAGATTCGATACGAGCAGCTTGGGTCGGCGACATGCCCAACAGACGAAGGGGGAATCGCGCTCGAGAGTCTGGCGACGCCAATGGTCTTGCCCATAACGCCAAGGATGGAGCAGGCTGGGTCTCGTGACGGGGGACGCCTGCTGAACCTCCCTAGCAGCGGTCCGTGTCGCCGTCCCTACCCGTCTGTCTGCGGGTGCGGTACTGCTACAGCGATTTCTTCTCGACAACATACGCGACTA